GCCCCGGGCGACGCTGACTATGGCCATGTGAGGGGGGTCGGCTGGGTGTCAATCATCGGGCGGAGCAGCGAGCATGTGGTCTCAAGGGGACCCAGGCGGGTGAGAGGAGGGGGGGGGGGGGATCGACTCAAGGCGCGAGTCACATACTCTCAAGGATCAGCACCTTCAGGGTGCTGATGCGGGGAAGAAGCACTGAGGAGGGACGCTCATCCTTGGTGGAGAGACCTGCATGGTTGTGTGCATGTGCACGCACAGCCCGCGGCCGAAGGGACGGTAAGATGGTGCCGCGGCAGTCAGTAGACGCCATCAGGGCGAGTCAGGGGCGGCAGCGGGGCAAGGGCAGGGGGGGGGGGGGGGGGGGGGGCGGGGGGGTGGTTCGACACACGCAGGCAAATCAGATCTTGCAGTATGGTCTCCAAGTTCCGAACGCTCTTTGAGGCCATCGTCGGGCTGTCAACTTGCGAGTCTGGGTATGGGCAAGAGAAGCGGAGCAGCGGAAATGTCAGCCGTGGAAACACGCGCAAAAAGGCCACCGAGCAAACCCGGCACAATGGCCATCCACATACACTGAATGTGCAGGCTGGCCAGACGAATGGGGGCATACGGCGCGAAGGGGGTGATGAAGGGGACCAGGGAGGCTGCGAGGCCGGGGTGCATCCACATGTGTGTGCGTGAGAGGGGGAGAGAGAGAGAGAGAGGGAGAGAGTGGATGTGCGAGTGCCTCTGTGAGTGACTGCATGTGTGTGCGTCTCGGTGCATGGATGATTGCGTGGGCCCATGCGCGGTCCGGTGTTCGAGGGGATGTGTTCACGGGCGGGCACGTGTGGGCCAGGGGACATACAGCACATGTTTAGATGCCGCAAATGCGGAGACTCATAATCGGCGCGGAATTGAGTCAGAGCGTCGGACAGAGGCATGGGGAAGAAGGAGTGATCCGCCCACTCGGGGCAGCCAAGCATGTCGAAGGCCGGGATCTGTGCCTGGACCTGGGCAAAGGGCACCGTCGGCTGGGGCATGATGTGCACTTTGTTCTTGGCAGTATAGATGCGTAGCCCTGGGGCCATGGAGGTGGTGGCGGCGGTGGCCGGCGAGCAAGTCAAAGTAGAAGCATGTCAGCGGCCGGGCAGCGGCAAGCCAGGCAGGTGGTGGCCAGGGTGCGCACTCTTCATCGACAGGCCCATGAGGTTGTGGAAGGAGTAGAGGTAGCCCAGGAGCATGTTGATGGCATTATCGGAGATGGTGTTGGCTGAAGTCCGGCCAGGGGGAGGGGGGACATGAGTGTCGGAGGGGGAGGTGAGACCCGGTCCAGGGGGGGCGGCCAGGCGGGGAGGAAAAAGAGCGGCAAACAGGAGGCTGGCAAGGTGACAAGGCCCCATGTGCATGGGGGGGGGGGAGGAGCGGGGGGGACGCACAGTTGATGCACAAGTATCGCCGATAGGGCCCCTGGTGGATGCTCTTGAAGAGCTCACCCCAGTCTTTGGCCAAAGTACTGACGTCTGACGCCGGGCACGCGGCAGGGGCACACAGAAGGTGAGCATCCAATCGACATCAGATGGCAAGGTCGGCGGGCAGGCATCGCCTGGCCTCCTCCGTCCCGGGCCCTTGCCGCAAAGGCACACGTACCATTGAGTTTGAGGAAGAGAAGCGCCGGATTGCTTTTCAGCGGTTGCCTGAGAAAGTTGAAGCTGCCGAAGCAGTTGCCTGCATGGCGAGAGTGGGGGCCGGTCAGCACAAGCATCCGGGGCCGGGGCCACATGACAAGCGGCGGGCTGGCACCGGGACACAACGCACCGGACAGATCGACCGAAGTGAGACCCGGTGACATGAGGATCGTCGTGAGTAGGGATGCCTGGGCGCAGGACACAATGAGGCTGGCTGTGGACGAGGACACCAGATGTCAGACACATGCGGGGTAGAAAGCAAGTCTCCACACGGGCGAGCTTGCAACAACATCAACAGCAGCAGCAGCAGCGGCAACAGCAACAGCAGCAGCAGCAGCAGCGGCAGCAGCAGCAGCGGCAACAGCAACAGCAGCAGCGGCAACAGCAACAGCAGCAGCGGCAACAGCAGCGGCGGCGGCAGCAGCAGCAGCGGTAACAGCAGCAGCAGCAGCAGCAGCAACGGCAACAGCAGCAGCAACAGCACACGTACACTTCATGGAAAGGTGCTTGACGGAGGTCGCACGCTCTTGGAAAATGGATGCCAGTGCCTTGAGGTAGGGTGTGCTATTCTTCTGCATCGGCTTGCAGTCTACGCACGCGGCGTCGCCACGGGACGGCGGTTGTCAGGGTCGCCGGGGAACAAATGACCAGCCAATTCATGCATGAGCGAGTGAAGGGACAGGACCGGTGCAGGGACCGAAGACGCACTGTCGAGATAGATGCTGACGAGGTTGGGGAAGAACCGGCTGGCGATGGACGGGGGGATGGAGGTGGCTGGATCGAAAGCACCCCCCTCGAAGGGGTGCTCCCTGTCCTCCAGCACATGATGCGGGGTGACCCGCCGGTCTGAGGGGGAGGGATGTCTCGTGTCAAGGGCCGGCACTTGCATCAGGGGGGAGGGAGGAGCAGCAAGGAGGGCCGTCGTCCGAGGACGAAGCGCAACTGCACGGGGCGTACTGTAGATAAGATGCAAGCGCCGGGGGAAGATACTCTCCGGGGGGAGAAAGATGTGGACATCGTCAACCGGACAGAAGAAAACCTGACCTGCAGGTGGGGGGGGGGGGGGGGGACAAGGAGCCCGGCGAGCGGTCCGATTGTGAGCAGAGGAGTCCACCGGGAAGGGGGGGGGGGGGCTTTTTTTGACGAGCGATGGATGGATGCGTACTGGAGATGCTCAGGTCCGGCTCGAAGGGGTCCTGAAATGCAGGCACGTTGGCCATGGCGATCTGCCGGGGTTCGGTGGTGTGCGATCCCGTCCTGTTGGTGTGGCTGTTTGTCCTCCGGGCGCCCGTTTGCTATGTCTACCTTTAGATCCTTAGCCAGCGGCGGCGGGCCGAAGGAGAGAGAGAGAGAGAGGCAGAGAGCTGGAGTTCCGGAGGTGCAAGTAGGGAGATGCGAGGAGGAGGTGCGTGGCGCAGGGGTCGCGGTGTATGTGGGTTATGGCCGGGTGGGGGGCGAGGGCGAGGGCGAGGGCCGGATGATCGACTATGCGGGGAGGGGGGGGGATGACAAATGCGCATGTGCTTGGTACGTGCGGGTGATGTTTATATTAATACATCCGTGTGTGTGTGTGTGTGTGTCCAGAGGGATCCTCTGGAGGAACGGAGGCCACATGCCGGGGAGCCACGCGATAGGGGGCGGGACGGCCACCGACCGAGGCGACTCTCGGGCGGGAGACGCCTCTTCCCCGGGAGATCTGTTTCGCGGGGACGACCCCTTCTGCCTTTGCGCCCCGCTGCGCGGCTCTGCGCAGGGGAGCTCCCGGAGGCCTCCCAACGTGTGCTCTTCCGATCTGGGACGGCCACCGACCGAGGCGACTCTCGGGCGGGAGACGCCTCTTCCCCGGGAGATCTGTTTCGCGGGGACGACCCCTTCTGCCTTTGCGCCCCGCTGCGCGGCTCTGCGCAGGGGAGCTCCCGGAGGCCTCCCAGCGGGGGGGCGGTCCGGCAAAAAGCCCTGGAAGGCCCGAGGCCTGGGAAGGTGCCAATTCTTTGCCCGAGGTTCCCACACTGCCTGGGCCAGTGCGTGGGGATTCGACGTCATCGGGCACACCCTGACAGCCGTGGGCCCGCGCCCCGGGGCGGGGAGACACGACGGTGGCGGCGTTGA